CTGAGCACAAAGAGCAACACTGAGGGTATTACTATACCAGATCTCAAAGTATACTACAGAGCCATAGTTTTAGAAACAGCATGGTACTGGCACAAAAACAGACACATAGATCAATGGAATATCATTGAAGATCTAAACCTCAGTACATGCAATTTCAGCCCCCTGATATTTGACAAAGGTGCCAAGAACACATAATGGAGGAAAGACAGCATCTTCAACAAATAGTGCTGGCAAAACTGGATCTCCACCTGTAGAAGAATGAAACTAGATCCTTATCTTTTGCCTTCCACAAAAGTCAACTCTAAATGGATCAAAGACCTCAATGTGAAACTGGAAACCCTGAAACTGGGCATCAGCTGCCCAGGAAGCAAGGTCAAGAATCAACAAATGGGATCTCATTAAAATAAAAAGCTTCTGTACATCTAAAGAAGCTACCAAGGAAGTAAAGAGAAAACCCACAGAATGGGAGAAAAATCTTCACCAGCAACACATTTGACAGAGGTTTAACAGCCAGAATCTATAACGAACTCAAAAAACAAAGTATCAGGAAAGGAAGTAACCCAATTAAAAGATGGGCTAAGGAACTGAACAGAGGGTTCTCCAAAGAAGAAGTAAAGATGTCTAAGAAGTACCTTAAAAGGTGTTCAACATCACTAGTAATTAGGGAAATGCAAATTAAAACCACTTTAAGATTTCATCTTACCCCACTCGAGCCTGCTAAGATCAAGAGAACAAATGATACCAAATTTTGGAGAGGATGTGAGGAAAGGGGAACACTCATCCACTGCTGGTGGGGCTGCAAACTGGTTCAACCCCTATGGAAAGCAGCATGGAGAACTCTTAAAAAACTACAAATGAACCTACCATTTGATCTCTTGGAATATACCCAAAGAACTCATCCTATTGCAGAGACATTTGTACACCTGTGTTTGTTGCTGCTCTTTTCACAATAGCTAAGAGATGGAATCAACTTAAGTGTCCCTCAACTGACGAGTGGATAATGAAAATGTGGTTCATTCATTTATACAATGGAGTTTTACTCAGCAGTAAAGAAAGATGAAATCATGAAATTTGCAGGTAAATGGATGGAACTAGAAACTGTTATACTAAGTGAAGTAACACAGACTCAGGAAAAAAAAATGGTGAATGTTCTCCCTCATATGTGGCTCCTAGCACCAAATCCTATAAGTGAATATGTATCCAGACATAACTACAGGAACCAGGATAATGAAGAGGAACAAGGAAGATAAAGGAAAAGAAAGAATCTGAAATAGAAGAACAGTACAAAAAAGATGTTAATAAAGGATATATGGATAAAAATTGGGCTATTTTAAGGGGAGGGGGGAGGAAGATTATACAAGGAACCTAGGGGATAAAGGGAAAGAAGGAGCTCAAGAGAGGTGAGACCATAGGAGTAGGGTATTATTAAGAGAGAAATTGGAAAAACAGGGGCACCTTAAATGGGGAAACCATGGTGGAAGGGTTAGACAATGTGAGAGATAAATAATGCCTAGCTAGTTTTAGAAAAAAAAAAGAGGGACCCAAATTAGGACAAGCAACATTTTCTTTGCAGGAATGGGGCCTGAGACTTTCTTCTACCCCTCAATACTGTCTTTACAGCAGGTCTTATTTGAGTACCAGATTCTCACACTGTATCAGACACAGCTGTCCTGAGAATCAAGGGCTGTATTATAAAGCATGTAGCCTGAGGCTCAGGAAAGAAGAGTTAATGT